TACACTTGGGAGTTAACTTTCAGATAAGTAGGTGAGATGCACTTCCCATCTAATTTGAGCATTTTAACAATTAGAAGCATGCCTGAAGGGGCAGGGCACATTGGTTTCATTTCCTCAGATACATATCTGCCTCAGACAAATTTTCTCAGTAAAAGGGACTATTACAGTTCAGTAGTGTTGTGGTAAAAACAGAGGATGTTCAAATGAAAAATAAATATAACAGTCCTGTATACATTTCAACGGAGCACAAGATACACCTAAGCCCCTTGAAATCTATGGATCCAAACAGGTTTAATTATGCACAGGATTGCAATCTATGCTTTGCAACTTGGGACTCAGCTTATACAGCTGAAAATAAAATGTTTCAAATGTGTTGTAAAGTGCAATATACAGATGTGACACTAGGTGGCGACAGGGAGCTATGCCAAATTCAATGTATTTTTCAAAACGTTTTTTTAAAAAAGCATTTTCAGAGCATTTTTTTAAATATGTGTGTAGATTCCACCTTGGGCACCTTAAAATAAGAGATGAGACAAATTCATGAAGGATAGGACTATCCATTGCCACTAGCCATGGCTATATATTATGCACAGCAGAGACAAGGAACCTTATGCCCAGGAGCTAAATGTGACCCTCAATATCTTTCTATCTGGCCCTCAGTCGTCTGCCCAGGCCAGGCCTCCTCTCTAGGATATATATTCTCTCCTCGCTAGCCCTACTTCATGCCTTCCACTGCTGCTTTAGTGGAGGTGGGATGTGTCCTTGAGCTCTGATGCCTCCTGCTTACTTGCCATAAAGAAATGGTGTGTAGGAAACTCTTGACTTTCACATGGCCAGAACCACAACAGGAAACTGTTGTTTCCTTCGCTTCTCTTTTCCCACTGCATAGCCTCCGTTTTAACTCATTCTCCTAATGTTTTGGCCACAGAGGGCAGTGCCAGTTTTCAACAAGGGGAAACCCGGAGTTACATATAAGCCCCCAAAGAATATTCAGGTTTTGTGCCTTCCTTGAGAGGACACCAGTGCCTTTAGCACTGCATGAAAAGCAGAAATCCAACAGGCGAAGCTTTCCCTGTGGTGCAGAAAACTTGCAGTTGCAGAATCTCTGCCTATGGAGAGGCAGGGCAAGCATTGCAGGATATGTATGGAAGCTTCAGCCTTCCAGATCAGTGTGTCTCGAAGTTGCATCTCCAGCTGTTTTTTGGACTACAACTCCCATCAACCCTAGCTAGCAGGACCATTGGTCAGGGATGATGGGAACTGTAGTCCAAAACCAGCCAGGGAACCAAGTTCGGGAAACCCTGGCCCAGGTGTTGCTGAACAACCACCTCCCGTTGTCCCTAGCCATTGGCTATGCTTGCTGGGCTTGGGACGGGAGTTTGTAGTTCAATAACGTCTGGAGAGGCTTCCTCACCACCCTGACAGGAACAACCTTCCAAGTTACCACCACCTCCCGAGCTCTCTCCCCACCCTCACCAACACCGTCGGGGATTGGCTGAGAGGAGCGTCACGTGCTCTCACCAGGCAACCGCGCCCTCCTCTCCTCTCCCCCTCCCGACGCCTAAGAGGCTGTTTGGCGCCTGCGCACCTCGAAGTCCCTGGCTCCGGAGATGGGGTTGCAGAGCGCGGGGTCCTCGCACGGGCACGCGCCGGAGCTCAGACGCAGGTGGGAGATGAGGAGGAGGAGCGCGACCGGGAGGCGCGCGCCGGCGCCGCTTAGCAACCCCTCCATGTCTTCGTATCAGGTGCTTAAGCGGGGCGTGGTGCGTGCGTAAGTGCGTGCGCGCCGCGGCTGCTGCTCCTTTTCGCCGCTGCCTCTTCGAGAATATATAATGCCTGGCTGAGGGCTGGCGTGGGGGAAAGTGGGAAGCTGGCTCCGCCCAGAAATGGAGGGGGTGACGCTGAGGGAACGGTTTTATGAGCGCCCCTTAGCGTCACCCGCTATGTTTCACCCTCAGGGATTGGCTGTGCCAGTTGCCTTAACAGTTCAGAGACAAAACTCAAGTGGAATAATAATACAAATAATAAAATAATAAATCCCTCAGGAGCTGCCTAATTTGGACACTTTAAAGACAGGAGTACCTGATCCTCTGCGCTCTGTATTCACTGCGTAAGCTTTCCCAAACTTTGAGGGGGGTGGTCGCACCACAACTCCTTGGCTCCATAAAAATAAAAATAATTATTATTTATTGCATTTATATACCGACCTATACCAAGAGGTTTCAGGGCGGTTCACAGAACAAAAAAATAAAGCCACAATTTATTGATGGATTGAATTTATATACCGCCCTATCCCCGGGGGTCTCAGGGCAGTTCACAGAATAAAATCAAGATGTAAAGCCACAAAGATAACTAATAAAAATAAAAACAACAACCCAATAGCACACCCCCCACAAAGAAAAAACACATTTTAAAACGCCATAGGATGCAAATCGGATCAACCAATGGCCTGGTTAAGAAGGAATGTTTTTGCCTGGCACCCAAAGGTGCACAATAAAGGCGCCAGGGGAACTTCCCTGGGGAAAGCATTCCACAGATGGGGAGCCACTGCAGAGAAGGTCCGTTCTCATGTTGCCACCCTCTGGGTTTCCCCAGCCAGTGGGGGTGGCTTCCAACCCATATAAAAACATAATAAAACGTCAAACATAGACTCATCCCTGGTACCCACCAACCCTATAAAAACTGTTATTCGGAATGAAGGTTGCACAACCTGCTAAGGAAGATAGCAGCACCATAAAATTTGAGGCAGTAACAATTGCTTACGTTTATTGAGAATTTGATTTAAACTGTTCAGTTTGAATAATTGAAATTGCTGAGCATGATCCAGTGATAGCAGCTTTTCAAAGTTTGGTCGCCATTTACACCTCCAGCAGCCGCCTAGGTAATGCCACCGGCCCCCGGGGGTGGTACCACCCACTTGGGAACCACTGTCATAGAGATCCCAGGGCTTTGGTTTTTGTGTTTTTTTAAGCATCATTTGTATGGCTAAAAGCCAAGTCACCTTGCTCCCAATTCTGAAATTGCTCTGCAGTAACGCCTGGCTGCTTATTTCTGGTATCGGTTGCAAGAGCCAATACTGAGGGTGTGTTTTGTGAATGTGTGTCATGGAATCTGGACTCGATGCAACATGGTATTTCAAAAGACACAGAACAAGTGCAGCTGTGCTCTTTGAATCATGATGTTTTATTAAATGATTTAACACAAATAGATTTTTTAAAAATTATTATTGAAAATTACTGATAGTGTTATGGTAGAAATGCATTGTTCTTCAAAGGAGAAAGTGATGCTACTTTTCCTGTTTGAAATAATTCCATTGCTCTGTCCATTAAATATATTGGCCTTGGAATGGAAACCATTTGAAGCTCTAATCTTCTGCCAAATAACACCAAGCTGTGCATTGCAGGTATTCACAGGAACATGCTGCCCGAATCTCAGTTACAATTTTGATATCCTTGAGCTTCTGGTCAATGCCTATTTGCTCTTCCCCGTGGAATGGTAGCAGATTCTGGAACAAAAATGGGATGTGATACAGTTTTGCTATTTGAATTTCAATTTCACCATGTGACTGTTTAAAAAGACTATGCATTTAGAATTCTACTTATTGAGCAGAACACTGATGAAGATTTATCTCAAAGATTTATTACTGGATCGACAACAAACTAGAGTACAATGGACATAGCTTGCAGCCAAAGTAATGAACGATAAATTTCTGGGCAGGATTTCAAGAGCAAAGTAACTTCAGTGAGACTTCACTTGATCAACCCCAGTGGATTGCATTCTGTACTGTAATACATAGCTCTCTGTTTTAATATGCTTTAGTGTGAGAGGGTGGTTTTTATTTACTTATTTATTTCAGCTTTCAAACCCACATATATATTCATTTAACTGGGAAGAAAGAAAATGGTTCTTGAAGAAATCTATCCTGTCATCCTTAGTCCTGACCCAGGTGCCTCTTCCTATTTCCTTAGTCCTCTGATGTAAGGGAAATGGGGAGCTTACCTGCCCAGGACTAATCAACAGTAGCTATAGACTTTTACCTATCCCCTCCAAATATCTGGAATAGGAAAGGGTGCAACCTGTTTCTGAGACTCCCAGGAATAGAATCATGTTAGTCCTCACAGGCTCATCAAATAAGGTAGTCAAACTAAAGCCCAAGCAAACTGTATCTTAAAGACGACATATTCTGGATAATATTGATGGATACTATTTCTCCCACCCTTCCCATGGAATAAGGATGAAAATACTGCTTCACATACTTATGCTGTGTCAAGAGGTCATGTTCAGCTGCAAGTTGCTTTCTCATATCTTGAAACATTTGTACGTGAACATTTAGGCAAGCCACACTGAGAAAATACATGGAGTTTAAATTATATCTAAATTATAGCCTGGACTGTTTTCAGAAACCTGATTTTTGCTAAAGCTTCCAAACTGCAGCTGGAAATCTCACATTATAAAATAAATTATGAAAACATGGCAAATTGATAACTTGCCTGTGTAGGTGGGTTATTCTGTTTTGTTTGTGCAAAATGTGTTACAGCCTGACATGAAGACAGAATAGGGAAAGGTGTCTGCTTAAATTGAGCAGGGATTACAAGCTATACTAGAGAGTGGGACTCAAGCAGTGTTCTGCAATGGGAAGCCCAACTACCTGACTACATCAATGCAATGCATGAGAGAAAGCCATAATTTGTGAAGTATACAATTGTGTTTTAGAAGACACATACTTCCCAGAGCTGAAGGTTGTTCATATTTTTCTGCTGCTACTATATATCTTTAAAAGCACATGTTGGCTTTGGTGATTAGTAAAGTGGTCATCCTGAGTTCCTAAAAATTTGGTGAAGGGGTGGATGGAACCATGATTTGGAAATTAGTCAAAGTCATGGAAATTTCTGGTTCCCTTTTTGGTGTTCCCCCCCCCCGAACTGTATTCTGTTAAAAGGTTGTGAAGAAGAAAATATGTGCACCAGTGCCTAGATATTCACATATTAATAGATAATTGCCTAACCTTTGGCACAGGATTCTGATGGAAGAATCCAAGACTGAGCAAAGCTCACAGCATTTTTGGCTTCATATCCACTGGGCATCTTATATTCCTGTTCATATTCAGCATCATATCTTCCACACATTCCACAGGTTTTCCCAATCATTGATAAAGGTACTTGAATCTGCACAGGAACATGGTAAAAGTCAATGCACTTCTGGCTGCATATGTGTTTGTAAAAATCCAAGACATTGGTAGGATAGCAAATAAAAGTATACCATAAGCGTGCGTCCATCATAGAAGAGATTTTCAATGCCAACTTCTGGAGCTTTTAGTGACAAGCCATTCTTCTCACGAGTGATAAGGATATCACCTGTAACCAGAAAACAGAATTACTTAAACTCTGGTGTAACATCTCAGTGCAAATTGTCACCATTACTGATTTCTCTCTGTTTCAATTAAAGCATCAGATATGTGGAGCTGAAATCTTGCTGCTGTTTATGTGAAAGCTGCCCAGCAAGTAAGAATTACTCTCTACTGTGTTTGCAATATAAAAGGTTACCGGAATAAATAAAATATTTGAATAACGTTTAGGCCTAATTCCACGATCAACTGGTCCCAAAGGAAAAATCAGCTATATACCAGACCATAGATATTGGAGATCAACACCTGCCAAAGTAGGGGCCCAGTCCGGCTCCTTGAGAGAAACCATCTGCTCTCCTCCAAGTTGCCAATGGGAAGGACAGATGAAAAATGTGTGCCGGATTGTGTGGGCATGTGATATTTTAGCTGTGGTAGTGGTAAGCCCTAGTATGTGGCCCTAAGGTCATCCTTTCAGTTGCTAACCACTGGCATACATAAGCCCCTTTACAATTTGCTATAGGTAGTTCAAGTGAGTCAGACAATTCAGGAGAAGTCAGAAAAGGTATGCTACCTTTGGAATTGAAAGTGAATGGGAGATTCTCTGGTGGAATTTCAGTACCGTTAATCCTCAGCTTTTCAAGTCCATTTGAAGAATACATGTCAACCTCCCTTTAAACAGAAAAAATCTGGTTTAATTAAGGCAATGATACATTTATGTCATACATACCAAGTGCATACCTTGTTTGACAACTTGTTCACATTGGACCAATGAACATTCTACCTTGTTATCAATCACTGGTGGTTAAGAATATTTTGTATGACAAATTCAGATATTTGTTGGGGAAAGTGTGTCAATCTAGTGTGATTACCAGTATAACTAGTCTTTCTACTAGTCATATTACCAATATTCATTAACTATTTAGCTTCTCATATTTTGATCAGGTTGACTTTTGTAGGGCTGCTATACATCTGGAAAATCCTGGACATCGCCAGGATTTTGATCGCTAAATTGGTGTCCGGGCAGAATTTTTTATGTCCATTCTAAATGTCCAGGGAAACCTGGAGGTATGGCAACCGATGTCGTAAGTGGGTCTTCTTGCCTATTTTCTTATAAGTAGACGAAAAAATTATTTTTTTCCTGGTGGTTTTGCAAAAAAAGAAAAAAAGAAAAAAGCTACTGGTAAACACCCTTTCCCTCCTAAAATAAATAAATAAATAGGTCAACAATTTTTTTGTCCAGATTTTCACTTTCTGAAATATGGCAACCCTAACTTATAATGCTTTACTTACAGATTGGCAAAGTCGATACGGGCCATTATCAGATCAGTTGACTGTTCTGCTTTCATTGCCCTCACCAGGAATTTCAGTTCCGGGCTACAGTCATGGACCAAGACATGGTAGCAGTTTGCAGGCATTATATAGTGAAAGCTAACATTGTTGAAAGTTGTGATAGTATCTTGTGATACTGAACAACGACCTAAAAAGCAAACACTATCAGTAAGCATCTTCAAATGGTTAGAAATAATATTCTGATAAGAGATATTCTTCTGGCATATTTTATTATTGAGTTTTCAACCCAGAAAGTGATTCAGTAACTGGCATGGAGTTTGGAAGCTGTGCTGAGGACCAACTGAGATCTCTCAACCACCTGATAAGATGCTTCCAGGATTTGTGGTTTGTAGCCCTGGTGTAAACCAACTTTTGCTGGAACCAGGAGAGCAAAACGACGCTGGCTAACCTACTAACCTTTCAGATTTTCCACAAATGAGGATGGCAGATTAGAGATGAAACTCCAGGCATGGGGCTGCTTTGCTAAATCTTCTGCATGTTGGGCTACAGGGAGTGGAAGTGGTAGCCAGATGTTTGTGTCATAAAGTGTGACCTAATAAAAAGGTAAGATAATATCAGTGCTATTTTTCTAGAAAAAGAGGCGCCGGAACCCACCACCAACGCCTCCCTTGTTGTCTTGTAATGGCGATGGCGCCAACCTGAGAAGTGCCGGAACTCAGTTCTCCTGATTTCTAGCTGAAAGGCCCTGCAGAATATTTCTATTGCAAGGGGAAGGAACACAGGTGGTAGAAATGGTTAGAAAGTCATACTGAAGAAGAAGAAGAAGAAGAGAAGGAGGAGGATTTGATACCCCGCTTTATCACTACCCAAAGGAGTCTCAAAGAGGCTAACATTCTCCTTTCCCTTCCTCCCCCACAACAAACACTCTGTGAGGTGATGGGGCTGAGAGACTTCAGAGAAGTGAGACTCGCCCAGGGTCACCCAGCAGCTGCATGTGGAGGAGCAGAGACGTGAACTTGGTTCACCAGATTACGAGTCCACCACTCTTACAATTGCACTCAGTTAATGGGCAGTGTCTGTTCCAGGTTTGAGAGACCTCTGGGCTAACTGCTCTCTGGAAGGTCCTCTCCTCTGCTGGTGTTTGATGGTGGCTCTATCTGGTGACAGGGGTCGGCAGCAGCACTCTGAGCAGTGCAAGGTAGTTGGATCCAGCCACCATTTAAATTTCCCAGAATGCCACAACACTCCAGGGCATGGTGAGAAATCTAAATAGCAGCTAGACCCAGCTGCCTGGGGGTGGCTAAAGTGCCCAGCTGGAAATGGGTTTTGTTTCTTAAGGGCTCCAAGGCAGATGTCCATGGTGAGTTGTGTCAGTGTGTTGGGTCCTCAGCAGCTGCCCAAGAACACCAGGCACTAAGACCAGGTGCAGCAATGGGGAATGTTTCACCTGTTCAATTCCTGCATCCCATATATATCTTAAAGGCACTGTTAGAGAACTAGGGCTGAACAAAAATGACATTTCGTTGGTGAAAGATGATACTTTTCACCCTGCCTGGAGGTGCCAGAGATTGAAATTGGTGCCTTCTAAATGCAAAGCAGATGTTCTACCATTGAGACACTGGCTAATGAAAGGCACCTCCTGCTTGGTTTTGGCTCAGCCCTAGTGCCAAGCATATAGCCCAATCCTAGGCATGCTGACTCAGAAGTATGTCTTATTAGGTTCAAGGGGACTTTCTCCCAAGTAAGCAAGTACAGTATAGGATTTTAGCCTTCATCTGTATTTGCTTTCCTCTTTTCATTTGCTTAGTTCTTGACAAAGCCTTACACGCTCTTTGGAAAATGGAACAGATTAACGGAAAATAAACACATTTGCTTCATTTGCACAGTCTTATCGCAATAGTTCTTTCTATCCTATGGTACAATATGAGCGGTTGGCACACGCAGCCTTCTTTCCATCTGCAGATTTGTGGAGGAATTTATCTTGAGAGCAGCATGATTCCATGACTCCCTCTGTGGGAAGCTTGGTTTTATTTGCTGATCTGTCATTTATTAATTGGAGCGATATAAATTACTATTTAAACAATTGTTTTAAGGTGGTGGGATTCAGAACGGCAAAGATTTGCCAGGAACAACGATACAAAAGCCACCCTTCACCTCCTGCCCTGGCCATTGTGAGCTCACAGGGTTCTGGATGCCGTGGCGGTTCCAAAACAGATCTTCTCTCCCTGCCCCCCATCCCCACACATACACTTTGGATTGCTGCACTAAGATTATTAAGGAATGTGAAAAGCCCAAAGCAAATAATTTACGTTATGTAGCTTCAGAACAAGAGCACAGCTTCTCGGAGATGTGAGAGCCACGACTACAGAAGTCTGCTGTGAAGGATTCTTCTGTTCTCTTTGGGACAATCCAAGCCTACAGGCCATATCAGGAACAAATGTGGATAGCCTAAAGGAAAAAGGGGTGAAAGGATTTAATCCACATTTGGTAGAATGCCTTAAAATTCTGTCCGTTTCAGACTAGAAACAACCTTGTGCATCTTCACTGGAAGGAGAAAAGGAAGAATACTAATGTTTTAATCCAATTCATTTTGTTGGAGCAAGAAACACACGCATAACGGCATTCCTTGCTGGTAGTTTTCTGCAGATATAGCTCAGCTCGATTTCCACATATAGATTTAAACATATATTTGAAGTTCTGAATTACTTAATTCTCACCCACTTGCAGCAGCTTCTAGTCTGGGAGGAACTCTGAGCCAGTCCACCTTGATTTGCATAGCTGGATAACCAGCAAACCATCCATATTCAACCTTCGTTGCAATATTGTAGTCTCGACAATCCCAGCCCCATTTTAGATAACCCTGAGAAGAAATAGGTAGTGGATTTTATGCCTCTGATAAAAATTAAAGTAGCTACATCGCTGCAGTTACTACACTGATTTTTCATACCACTGCACTCTTCTATTTCCTTAACCATTACTGGGAAATGCAGTTCTAGGTTACAGGGGTTTTTTCCCTTGTGTGTTTTTTTTTTAAGCATCTTAACCAAATACCATAATGGCCTTGAAAGTCAAGTAGCACTTTCCATCCATTGCAGCCCAAGGTCACAACTGAGATGGCATTTCTGCCACCATTTGCAATGAATCTTTTCAGGCAGAACTTCCAAACATCTGCCTGAAATAAAAGCGAAATGGCAACCCAAGAAAAAGTGTTAAGAAGCAGGCCACAACTGAAATAAACTTCTTTCTTGCTGTGACTCCTTTACATCTGTGGCAGCCCTGTTTAGCGAAATTTTTAATGTTTGATCCTTTATCACATTATTATTATTATTATTATTATTATTATTATTATTCTGCTGGGAGCCGCCCAGAGTGGCTGGGGAAACCCAGCCAGATGGGTGGGGTATAAATGATAAATTATTAATAATTATCACTACTACTACTACTACACCCCGTGGCCCTGACTTTGCCACCACCTCTCCCCAGCCCTGTCCACATAAGCAGCAGATACCCTGGTGCCAGGAGTAAGGTGGTTCTGCAGCTCTGCCCCACTACTACTGATAAATATTGTAATTGTTGCTGAATGACTTGGTTGGGGAAATACAGTATTTTTTTGGTCATATAGTTGTTTCTTACCTCAGCCTTCTGAGGATCAAGAATGGAAATACCAGCACAGAGCTTGGGTCTTTTGGATTCTTTTAAGTCTGACACAAAGACTTGTACTGTAGGCCTGGAAGTGTGTAACTCATCGTGGAGCTCAAGGTGAAGGATGGTGACCTTCTTCTCATTCTGGATAGCACGGAGATCAGCAACCAGCACCGATGATTTATTGTGTCTCAAGAATTTGGGCTAAAGTCAGAAGTAAATTGGGGGGGGGGGGTTACTTTAGAAACGTTACCACAAACATCACACCGTTCAAGCAAAACTGAACAGCACACTGGAATTTAAATGCATCTTCCTGGTATAATATGCTGTTTTACAAAACATTTCCAATGAAATTCTGTTGTGCGAGATCAGATATTTAATGAGGTTATATCATTTAAAAGGTCCTAATTTTATCAGCACAAGGGCTGAAAAAACAAAGCAGTATTAAGTAGTAGGCTTAATATTAGTTAATAAACCAAAAACATTTTGAAATAGGTTCATAATCTATGAAAGCTTTAGTACACTAACTAGTAAGTGTATTTGATAATGCAGCGATTTTAACTTCCACATATATGAACTATATAGCCTAACTACATCTGTACAGACTACAGAGTAGGTGCTGAAAAAGTTTCCCCATTCATTGTGATAGCCCATTTTCACATGCAAATTATGAATATGGATGAGTGGCCCAGCACTTAGTTATAAGACTGGGTGCTTTCCCTCTGAGAGTCTCACCCACCCACCTCTTTTCCATTCATTCCCTCTCTCCTCCACACGCCTTGGTTTCATTTCAAGCCATACAAACCAGTTCGGTTCCTTTGCTCTTCTTGGTTTTAGCGTCCTCTTTCTTCCCTTTAGTCTTCCACTTCTTTCTCTTAGCCTTTTGGTCTTCATAAGAAGAGGATTCATTATCTACATTATCTTCATCTTCATCGGTGTGCCTCAGGTGGATTGCGTTTGAATGCGATTTAGAGTCTGCTTGAACCTCCAGCTGTATTTTGGTTCTAGCCGCTTCTGTCGAAAAACCCATGCATGAGTTAGAACAATAACTATTGAAAGGTAGACAACCATCAGTTGTGGGGAGCATCAGGTAGGGTGTCAAGCATTGACATTACTGGCCCACAACTGTGCAGGGTGCGCGGGGGGGGGGGGACGACTGCTGCCCTCCAGAGCTTCCAGGCCTTACTCCTCCTCCTAACATGCAGCTGCTGCTTGTTCCTCCCTCCAGACATGCAAACAATGACCAGAGTCAAGAGATTCTCCCCTTCTTCTGAATAACTGCACTGGGCCCAGAGAAGGAGGGCAAGCAAATGGATAGCAGTGATGGAGATGGGTCCATTCGTGGAGGGAAGGACCAATGGAGAGCATCTTGCCCAAGCGCTCTTCAAAGTTGACACTAGTGAGCATTGGGGGTGTAGATTACTGTTAATGAACCTATTGACCTAGCGCATGGAAAATGCAATGAAACCTTTCTCCAGACCTAAACACATTTGCCTGGAAATATTTCCCATTGATTCATAGGGTGCACACTGCCCAAACAGATCAAAGCTGGTGAGTTTTTCCCCTTTTAGTGGGGCTTCTTGTTCACTTTTAAGATGACAGATAATTCCTCAGCACTTTATTCTTCAATGATAAGGAGAAACTGCATTTAGTTTTCTGATCAAATGTTTGATGCTCTCCTTTTTGCAAAGAATTGACTGCCATGGGGTGATGGGATGGAGCTTATGCAGAGTATGGAGGGAGACCCCCAAGAAAGGCAAAGTATTATTGTATAGGAATTGTTTACAAAATTAGTGTGCGTATTCAAGTTTGATTAGTAATGATAAATTTCTAATAGAAACTGTACCTGGTTTCACAGCTAGTCTGATTTCGCATTGCCCAAAATACTTGTGTAGGTATGCATCTTTGAAGAACGCAGTGCTGCACTCTTTCATGGTGAGACATGTTTGATACCCTAAGCTAGATAGTTTGATATATGAGCTGGGTGAACACATTGCGTTTCTTTGACTGTGGTGAAACTCTTCTTTCAAGCCATAAATGAATGCCCGTGATGCAATATCAAAGACACTTCTTTGCTGCATTAAAAAGAACAACAACCGATGAAATATTGGACAGGAAAAAAAGTATTAAATAAATTCTGAGGCAATTCCCCCCCTTTATATGAAACTGGATTTACCTCACCAGATTAGTTAAAGCTTAGGCCTGGATATGCGTAGATAGGTAAACTGGGTGCCCCAATGCGTTTCCACAAAGTAGATTCGGTGAAGTTTTATTATATAGATAGGCTACAATTGTGAATTACTGAAACGGTATATATTTACCTCACAATATTTCAGTGGATAAACAAATATTTTGATTCTTTAATTGAGCATATTGGATAAGTATGGAAATTTAGAAATAAACTGGAATCAGCAGCAGGACCTGGATCATCTGCTGTGTGTATCTTTACAATGTACTATCCATTACCCTTTTGGTCCTAACTTTTGATGATTCAAAGCATTGTTCTAGAACATCAAATCCAATCATGTCTGGCGGAACCGGGGTCCTCAAAGGTGAATTTGGTTCATCTGCATTCCTTGACACAGCATAAAATTTAGTCCTGAAAGCACAGGTGTAAAACACTCAATATGTAAGTGGAATAAACCAAATATACATAATATAAGGTCGCTGTAATTTTCAGTCCAGTCATTCTCATGTTTGTCGTGACTTGAATGAATGACAGAGGTGATACTGAGAACAACTGAGACACAAATGAGGCGTGTGATTCAGGAATCTGCGGGTGGAGAGAGTTGGCCAACCTTTCCAAAGCACACTCCAGACATCGTTGTGTCGCACATCCTTTGTTGCTCTTGGAATTCCACTGTAGTGAGAATTGCATTTTGATCTGTAGTAGCCACTTTAGTGTCTATTGAGGCTGACCCTGAAGTCCTTACTTAGGCAAAATTCTCATCTACTTTATTGCCTTGGTAAGGACTGCAAGATCAGGGCCACCAAATACCGGTAATAGAAATTGCCTGTAAAGGTAAATAGATGTTTAGAAACCACCAAGAACATGACAAATTAAAAAGAAAAAGCAACCCTGTATACTTCCAGAAGTATTACTGCATTAAGAAACCAACATATAGTTATAATTTTTGCAACAGCACAATTCACTGCTATTTGCCACAATTAAGTTATAGCTACTGTACCTCACAGCCAATAATTCTGTCTGCTGCTGGACTGGGGTCATTTCAAACTTAAATATTTCCTCTTTCATGTCTATCTTGGCATCAAATTTAACCGGAATGCTTGCATGGAATTTAGCGTGGAATTCAAGACCAGATTGGAAATGTGGTGTGTTGATTGCCATCACTCCTACCAGATGTGTTGATACGCTGAAAAAAGATGGAAATACCAACTTAGATAATAATGTAAACTATTCCCTCACACTCACAGTAGACACATTTAGAATCTCATTTAATATGCAACATACAGAATGAGAATCTGTCAGTAAATATAACCATAAGGGACTATTAGTGGTTCAAACATAGGAGCCGTGTCAATATTTTTGTTAGATTATGCAGATTATGAATTTTAGTGGTAGGGAACTTTCTTTCCTGGTGGAGTGGACTTATATAGTTACAAATAAACTCAGATATTAAAGAATTTTTTTAAAGTCGTTTGTCACCTTTCCTTTGAATGGAAGCCAAACCTGGGTAAGCACTGCCTCTGTAATTTCTCACAGACTGAGGTAATGGAAGCCCAAAGCAATAGTCTTCTTTGATAAAGGTATAGTGCTGTCCGCTACACCTGCAATCTGACATTCCCAGGTGCCAAGTGGCCCCACTTGAAAAACTTGCAGTAGTGTGACCCATATCTCCCATCTTTGGAACAGAAGACAGAAGGCCAATGCTAGTCAGTTGGGCACTACCAAACCCCAGTTTGGACTATGTAAACAATTCCTTCCTAATTTTGCCATTCATCAGAAAATTAAGCAATCCTAATTTCATATCAGCAATCATGCCTACCTTGAGTTAATGTCAGCACTAAGAAGCAGGCTGGCTTTAAGCAGCTGTTCTGGTCCAGAGTCATTAGTCAAAGAAGGAAATATCTTCCCATCGACTGAAGGAAGTAAAAAAAGAGTGATTAAAATGTCAAAAGCATGAAGTAAAAAAGGAATTTAAGACATGGATTTACTGTTATCAGCTAGCATATTTTCATTTTCACAAATGTATAAGCAATTCACTAAGTTCTAGGGATGGGTGAATCTGTCAATATTGGTTTCTCTGAAGTTTCTAATTTTCCAGCAGCTCACTATGTTTCTGCATCAGTTTGCATGAGTGTGTGTGTGTGTAATCACAACAAGTTGTTGGCATTTTAATGCATATTTTCCCAGGAACTGCATTTCTGCAAGCAATTTCCCATATACATATTTTGCTAACATAAGATTTTTCATGAATATGTTCATTTTTAGGCACACTTTCCTCTAATATGCACATCTGTGTACACATTTTCTGGATGGGGAACTACACTGCAAAATCAGGAAAAGTGTGATATTTTGAAGGATAGCTGTTTTCCCCTTCACATACTGTTTCGGAGAGTGAAAATTAGATAGGTTTGTGCAAGCTGAACTGAATCTCTCCACCATCCCCAATGATCACTAACAAAGCTAAGGTGGTATGGGGCTGTACCAGTGCTCACCTTTTGCTGAAACATCTGCCACGCTGGCACTATATAAGCCAAGTTCCAGTGGGAGGCCTACACAGGTAGGTACAATGTGTCGAAGTTCTCCTGCCAGTATGGGCTGGGTCCATCTGCCTGTTATGCCATTTTGGAACAGGGGGGTCAGCATCTCTGCTGGTTGGGTCACAAGCTAAGCAAAATTAAAGATGCAAGTGTGTTTAATCAGCAATCAGAGATGGAGAGAGAGTATTTCCACACCCTTCCAGACTGACAAAACTTGACATACCTTCACAGCCTTTTCAATGAGTTCTTTGTCAACCAGAACAAAGGCAATATCATGACTAAATAATTTCAGAGAGCTGAACAACTGAGGCTTTTCTGAAGGGAGTTCCTTCCATCCCTTTAGCTGGCAAGAGAGAAATGATTGGTTTTTTTGAGGTTGCTTATAGTCATGTCGGGTTTCACATAGTGTCAGTTTACCTTTAATTATTGCAGAAATTATATAGTTGCTAGTTGAAACATACTCATTCGGTTTTCTTTGGACAAGGGGTGGACAACTGCAAGCCTAGGGGCCTCTGGGCATCTCTATATCTGGTCTTTGGGACTCTCTCCAGGCCATTACCCTTCTTTGAGCCACACCCCTCCCTGCCCCTGCTCCACACCCTCCTTTATTTATTTACCTGGCAGGAATTTATCATCGACCTATAATGCCTTCTGCGTGCCTGGATGCAACAATGTATTTATAGACACCTCCAACTTTGGGGTGACTGAACCAAACCACTCTGTGAAGCACCTGTCCCCCTCCATTAAACAGCTTGCCTAGCCACTTGCCACCCATGCTGCACGCTCATCTCCCTGTCTGCTATCACACCAAAGTTGGCATAGTCTCCAATAGATGATCGCACAAATCGCAGCGTGACGACACCCTTGCATTTTATTTATATAGGAGGAGATTTACAGGTTGCGTGTGCATGCACATGGTTGTCACTGATTGATTGATTGATTGATTGATTGATTGATTGATTAACTGACTCTCATGGTTAAGATGTACTGTCAACCCACCATGGGAAAGTCTGAAAATGTGTTCTTTGCAACTCCTCTAAAATGGGGGACTTGAATTGTACTCTTCACAGGGGGTATAGTTAAATGGTGGGATTCACTCCCAGAAGCGGCTTTATTAGACGAATTCACTCCTAGAAGCGGCTTTATTAGATGAATTCACAGAGGAAAAATTTGTCCATGGCTACTAGTCACGATGACTATGTTCTGTCTTCACTGGCTGAGGCAGTATGCTTCTATATATACCATTTGCTGGGGAAAATGCTGTGAGGAGCATGCTTTTGTACTCAGGTCCTGCTCACAAGTTTGCCATAGCCATTTGGTTGGCCACTGTGATAACAGAATGCAGGACTTGGTGGGACTTTGGGCTGACCCAGCAATGCTCTTTTTGTGTTCCTATGCTAGCTAAACACCTATTATTTGCTACAAATGTTCTCTGAAACTTCTTGAAACAAACAACTGAAAAGGATGATAAATGGGACATTTCGGCAACAAATGGTGAGGACATGAGGTAGTGGAGATCAAGCCAAGATACACATGGTATGCAGTGTTTGGCTCTGGGAATAAGCTTTTGACTTCTCTTAGGAGGGTTCAGGCTAGATGGGGGATTGTTGTCCTTTCAGCTACTTATCAGGTTTGGTCGGAGGAAGAGTGGTTTGCGGCAACATCCAGAAACATGTATATTCATGCATGCAAAATGCAGCGGCTACTAGCCACAATGGCTATATTCTATGGCCGCTGCCAAAGGCAGTATGGCTCTGACTATCAGTTGCTGGGGACTTGCAAGTGGACAGGGTGTTGTTGTGCTCAGGTCCAGTTTACAGGTTTCCCACTGGCATCTGGATGACAAGTGTGACAACAGGATGCTGGAATGAATGGACCATTAGCCTGATCCATCAGGGCAGTAGTAACCCCCTTCAGCGGGGATGAAGTTAGGCGAAAAAAGCAAATGAAGTGGCAGGCCACACTTCCAATTAAAAAGTGTACTGCGATTCAAACTAACAATAACAAAAAGGCACACACATACCAGTTTCCCAAGCGCCCTAATTTTTTTGTACATTGAAGACTCAGCAAATGGAATATCTTGTGTTTTGAAGATATCGGCGAGGCCTTCCAGGTCGAAATGAACCTATGTAAAGTAAATAAGCTTTATATGCACAAAAATATGAAGCACGGAATCACTGAAGAACAGAAAATGAAGAAAGGTTGTTTAGTTAATCTTTGTAAAGAAAAGGCCTGGAGGAAACTAAACAGAGCAGAGAAGATATTGGAGGAATTCCATTGACAGTACGATTTCATCTCAGGTAACTTCTTTTCAATACCTTCTCTACACTGAAGCTTTGAAACACAAACTGAAATGACTATTTGGAATAAGAGGAAGTCCAGATAGGAAGAAACCAGTGATGCTGGAACCTTCAAATGAGGGGTGGAGGAAAAATTTGATTCAGTTCATATTTAAAGCTGAATCTATCAAATTTGCACTTTTCAAAACAAATGAGAACCGAAACACACCAACTTTGGAAATTCATTCAGACCTGAATTTTGCAGTGCAGTTTTCCAACCTAACAATGCTTACAGAAATGCATATGTTAGCGGAAAGTATGAATAAAAATTGAGATATCAGTGAACATAACACAAAAATGCATTGTATTAGGGAAAATTGTTCCAAAAATGTGTACACTGCATACAAAAAGCTGTTTGTTAGGAGAAATTCACACTAAAATGCTGGTGAATTTCCATGAGGTTTTTTTTTTTTTAAAAAAAAAATAATCTGCAAATTGCTGCTAGATGTGGAAAATTGAATATAAGATTTAAAAATTCAGATACTGAGAGAACTGGAATTGATAAATCCTTCCCTCCCTACTTCGCACACAGTATTTTTCTCGCCAGTGTTCCTTTGTTTATGATAAACTACCATTCTTGCCCCGGCAAGCAACATGGCAGGTTGCTAGGGACAAGAGGAATATTAGCATGCAATGGAAACAAAGCATATTTGGCCCTGAGCATTATAACTTAGATCGCTCCTGATGTAGCTGGACTACCATCACATCTATACCATACATTTTAAGTATTCTTACACCACTTTGGCAGTCATGGCTCCCCTCCCCCTATCCCGGGAACTGTAGTTTGTTAAGGGTGCTGAGTGTGGTTGGAAAATCCCTTGGAGAGCTCCAATTCCCAGCACCATTGACAAAACTGAGGCCTTAATTTTAAGCTTCATGCCTTCAAATAATAATAATAATAATGTTGGATCTAATGAAAAAGCTAATATTTTCCTCTAAAATTGTAGCTTTAGAAGAAGGAATTACATACCACTTTCCATTGATATGTACTTACCTCTGCAATATCCATTGCTGAAGTGGCGTAGTAGCCTCTCATCTTTGCAAGGACTGATGGAAACAGTGTCTTCGGACTATTCATTAGGTAGACTCTTCCAATTGCACCAGCTCTGTAATTTCCTATGATAGGAATTTACAAAATAAATAAAAGCTGTTTGCTGCTCGTTGTAGGATTTGTTTCACACAGACAGATGCAATTCGATATACTCACTTGCAAATTACACAGCAAGTGGAATCATAGCGAGACAGACTATTGGTTCATTTCGCTCAGTTCTGTCTACACTGATTGGCAGCAGCTCTCCAGGGTTTTAGGCAGGGGTCTCTTCCAGTACGTATGGTGCTCTCAGCAGTGCCTCATCCAAGGAGTGCAGTTCCCAGGCAGGGATATAGGGAATCAAGTGATCCCTTATACATCCTGATCCCAAGTTGTTTAGGGCTTTAGATGTGAAGACGTTTTGCCCTGCCACATCCCAAGCATACTCGTCCCTTTTGAGGATAGCTACAGAATTTTGTGGGGGCTTAGCCCCCTTCTTGAAAATGGCCCCCATGGCCCCACATAGATGGCACCCCTGGTACGGGGAGATATATTGCATGGCAAGGCCCTGGGCCCTCCCCCACCTCTTGGAAAATAAAACACACAGACACCAATATTTTGGGTTAATGGGATAATTAAGGCCACAATTTTATTGGTTACAGATGTGAGCAGTATTGGCTTAGGCATTGGAACTGAACTGACTATATCTGACTCCTGCCCACCATGCAGATAGTCTCATAAGGGTTAACCACCAGTAGTGGGTGTCCTGTTGATGTACATCAACTGCAAGCTCCTCTAGGGTCACTGATGGGGTCATGGCATGGCCCTAGCCCATACCCGGGCTTTGGACAGGATCCACACCCCTGGATCCATTTAATGGAATACTCTTCAAGAGGAGGGGCAGATGAAGGCCACTACCTCCCCTCCCATAAACCACGTTTTACCAATGCCTAACCGCCAAACCTTACAAAGTTGTGACGATTGCTACGAGGCAGGTGAAAAACACATGGCTGGTGCCAATTTGCCAAATGGGGAAATTCCTACCTGGCCCCCTAAACAGGCAACCAACCGTGGTCCATAGCAAGGCCAAAGGCAAACGCATGAAACTAGGGTGGGAGATCCAACACAGGAGGAGGCAAGAAGGAAGAGCCCCCCAGCCACGCGGCAGTTTAAATAGCGTAAGCCATGCCCCCTGGTTGACCAGATAGGTTGGACAGGGACTGTGACGCAGCTGGGTCCTCCAGTGACACGGGAGGCTAGGCCACACACCCCCGACGCAGGGAGTGCATGTGGCCTGCCTGCATCCCCGCCCCACCCCCTGGGAAGGGGAGCAGCTTTACAGAAGGGTTTTGTAGGTAAAGATAAGGAGTTTGTGCTGGATTTGACGATGGGAAGGAAACCTGTTTGAGGAACGAGTGCTGGTGTGAAGTCAAAAGATCCCTCACACTTTACCATCTAAAGTCTGTGACATTGACATGGGAACTTGGAACATGAGTCTCCCTTCATCATAAGTTCCTTGTTTAATATATTACCAAACCACAGCATGGGATGATTCAGCCATAATCTCTTGAAATATAAAGGTGGAGCTTCGTACAGCAGCAACATCTTGCAGGACAAGTAATCCAGCTTAAAAGGGGAAAAAGAAATCATGCAGCCGAACCAGTTACTTACGGTAGAAGCCATCGATGTGGATGACGCTGCTATAGCGAATGCTCAACTTCTCTAGCCTGGCAGAGAGCAGCATGATGGCAACTCTGCAAGCTGCAGACCTAAGGGACAGCAGTGGAACAATATCATAATCCTATTTAAGCAGTGCTCTTTCTCTTGAAAAATGTTTAGGGGTACTCTCATTTTCCTACTCATATTGAAATATTGCCCTTCAATGAGGCCAAACTTAGATTCACAAAATGTCTAGGGGTACGCCTACCCCTGCGTCCCTCCAGAAAAAAGCACTGTATTTAAGACACTTCAATAGACTTAGCAACTTTCAGGAAGATGTTTACTTATTATCAAGAGGGAAATCAAAATCTTCCACGCTGTTGTTTTTTGTTTGTTTTTAAAGACCCCAGTGGAGTTTAAAGGTTCTCCCAGTCACATGGGGCCTGCTCAGGGGCGGACCTTGGTCACATGCTGCCCTGTGCAAAGCCACATGACTCCCTCCCCCCAGACCTTGTGGCGCTGGCCTAAGCCAGGCTTTGGGAAGGACGTGTGAGGTTCTGGCAGGGTCCTAGAGCACTCTCACTTCTTTCCCAAAGGCCAGTAAGTGCTTGCCCATCTTTGGGAAGGAGGAAGGAGGGCTCTAGGGCCCTGTCTGAACCCTCATGCCTCCTTCCCAAAGCTGGGCAAGTGCTCACCAGACTTTGAGAAGGTGACTTTCTTGGCTATGCGTCCAGTGCGACTCCCTGGCCTACTTTTTCGTGAGCGGATGCTGCGCAGGAGGGAAATCAATTCAGGATCCAACCACATAGGGTGGGAAATCAATTCAGGATCCAACCACATAGGGTGGGCTGACTGTGTCGGTTAAGGATATAGAACCTTATTTCTGTTGAAGGCCGCTTTCCCTTGGGGGGTAACATTTGGGGGGGCTGCATGCTGGTGGTGGGACCAGAGTAAAAAAAAAGTGAATGACCACCAATCGTCTCTCTCCGACCCTATTTCTCTCTCTCTTTCTGAAAGACCCTTCCCTTCTAAACAGCCAGAGGTGTGAACCAATTGCTTGCACGGGGCTTTTGCAACCAGGCCAATGGAGCTCCAGTAAACTCTTGGTGCTGTGCTGGTTTACTAGGCTCCCTTGTTTGTAGTTCTCCTTCTACTTACAGGTCATAGAGCTGTGGAATCTTGCCCATGGCCAAGACCTTCATGTGCGAATAGGCAAAGCTGGCAACCTGCAGATTTCTCTCCCTTTGCACGACATTGGCCAAAGCTGTCACTAGAGGGACAGCAGGTTTGGTTTCAAAGAAAACAACACAGGCCACCATCCGGACTTTAGAAGGAAGAGAGTTGTTTGCAAAGATCTGAAAGAGAATTTCCCGTACCTGGAGAGAAAAAGGACAATGCCACAAGTTAAACGATAATTTATGTACCAGTATAGAAAGCTGCCTTATGACTAGAAATGGGCGAATTTGTCAATTTCACGTTTTTCCAATCTCCACAATTTCCACATCATGTTGTGAAAATCCACCAGCATTTTAGTGCAAATTTTTCCTAATATGCATGTTTGTGTGGCATTTTGCCTAATATACAAGTTTTGCAGAGCAATTTTCCCTAAAAGAATGCATTTTTGCCTGTGATTTTCATGAATTTATGCATTTTTATGCACACTTTATCCCCAGAATAAACATTTTTGTACACATGACTTGGCTGGAGAACTGCTTTGCAAACTTTGGAGAATATGCACACATATATACAGTGGGTTTTACGCAGGGGGACGCATATCCCTAAACATTTTGTGAATCTTTGTACTTTTGTCCATTTACTGTATTTATTTTTCCTGATTTGAACTATAAAATGGTGCTTTTCTTGAGTCAAAATGAGAGTACCCCTAAACATTTTTTTTTAGAAAAAAGCACTGCATATGTATAATAGTCAGTTATAAGACCCTCCTACATCTGAGCTAGAGTGTTTTGTACAAATTGGTACTGTTGTACCAGCCCATAATTTGACACTTCGGATGCAATTCAGAGACTAAAAGGTCGCCTGTGGCACAAGCAGTTAAATGCCTTTTTGCAAGGCACTGCACTTCCTGCTTGCCGCCATGTTACCTTTCTGTGAGAGAGGGTAGGCAAGGGTCTCTCAGAAGGCCACGTAACCATCCCAGTGAACGCCTCTCATGTGACCTTGGGTGGATCCTTTGCTAAGCAATTACACTTTTAGCAAAATAATTTGCACTGCACAGCATCCATTTGCTGATAACCCAGGTTCAGTGCCCTACATTAATGTGCATGCTTCCTGGCCCCTATCTTAGATCACACCTGACATTTGCTCTGGGTCCCATTTATTTGGTTAAGAAGGACTTTGCTTACTTCTGGGGCTTGCTTCCTTGCTATTTTCCTCAAGGCTAGTACTGCCTCAGTCTGGACATTCTCTGGCAAAGCATGAGCCATAGATGAAAACCCTGGCAAGAACTTTTTGATGTAATTAATGCTGGCTGGTTCTCCTGCGTTGCCCATGGCCTTCAAGGCCAGCACCATGTCTTCCTCATGTCCTTCGCTGACTGCACCAGCTGCAAGATCATGGAGAGGCTGGAAACAGAACAAGGGTCTCGTGTTATTTGTTCAGTTGCTGATCTTTCCTAGGAAATTCAGGGGTGATGTTTGCCTGTGTGGAATGCACAGGAACTCTAGAACAGCAAAACAACTAGCAGTTCATCCACACAAAACTCACAACTTGAATCCCTTTTAGGGGGGGGGGATTTAAACACATTTTCTCTCAGAATGCACATGTGCATTTGTAGATGAGAGCTGCTTTGGGACATTTAGGATGTGCGAAAGTCAGGGAATAACTGAGTCCCAATCAAATTCCCACAACCCAAGGCGCCAGTCTGCAGGCAGGTTTTTGCACACTCTTAGGAAATGTGAACACTGCTTTCTTACCTGAAGAATTTCAGCAGGGCAGGGGTGGAAGTCAGTGCAGTGCCTGTTTACCATGGCGCCGTATCCTAAGTCAACGACGATGCGAAGCGCTGAAGATTTCTGAACTCCAGGCGAGGTAATCAGATCCTGCAGAAGCCAAAACAAAGTCAATGTAATGTGGATATTTTCTAGAATCATTAGTTGTTTGAAATATATCTGACCCACTTTTCCCAGAGCTCAAGGAGGCTTACAAAAATTATTACATTAATAACTCCGGTACAGAGAACTACAGCTTGAAACCAAAAATAATGACCCACTATAAAGATTTTTCAGCCCTTCCTACAATTTTCTCAGACCCCCAAATCACTTGAAGCACCACCTCCTTCCCTACAGATGCCCTGCTCTAAGTAGTTCTACAGCCCTCAGAAGCTTAGATAGTGGTGACCTGGGAGAGGACATTTTCTGTGGCAGCTCCTAAGTTTTGAAATTCTCTCTCCATAGAGGTGCAACCAGCAAGTGTTTTCGGCAAATGCTGAAGACACCCCTCCTTTACCCTGGCCATTGACACCTGAGATGTGTGTTTTCAGAACCACCTTATTTCTTCCAATTGCTTTTTTTTGTAATTGTAAGCTTTTAAAATAATTTTTAATTTAGTTTTTTTAATTGTTGTAACTTTGACTGAAGGATGAAGGACAGGTGATGGTGATGATGATGATAAAACCAATCATCTTGCTATCTATAAGCCTTACTACACAGATGGGCCTTGTGCAATAGTTTAAATCTCAACTTCTGGTCCCATTACATATTTATTCCTGTGAATGTCAAAAGCACCCTATTCTGACACCCAACGAAAACATATATTGCTTTGACGCTGTCCGTTTCAGCACCATATTACTTCTTTTACTTGCCCTCACTGATTTGCTCTTGTTTCCCTATGCAACCTGAAGCAAGATCACATGGGGTGTAATAACCAATGACATCACACCGCTATGATGGACCCCATAATCAAAATCATCTGGGTCATTGCCACTACCAACTGTATCAAATGGTAGTGTCAGCAGATAAGGACAGCAAGTGCAAAAAACAAGCTAGAAAATGATACTGTGAAGAAACACTAGTCATATGGGAACAAAAGGATTACACACAGCATTGAAACAATGTCATTATTTTCGGTAATTTGTTTAGGGCTGCTGAGCATATTAATTCTGAGGTAAATCTCAATATCTGAGGCTCAAGATTATTCAAAAGCTTTAACCACCTCGAAAAAGTGGAGAGATTACAAACTGATTGCATATCATTTATTCAAAAGAAAAAGAAGCTTTGTACTCTTGTGATCTTTTTCACTGAAGGCAGAAATAAAACTAAGACTAAAATGCTGCTCTGAAGCTTCCTACTGCTTAGGGAAGTAGGTAAAATTAAACACTATACTTACTGCTGCTGCTTTTAAGGTAAGGCTACTGGTTTTTGTTAAATGGAAGGCCAAAGTAAGAGTGAGAGCAGATTCCAAGGAATTCAGAGACTCTTCTTGAATTCTTTGCTTCAGGAACGTAAACGTATTGGTGGTTCCTGCTACCGCAACTGCGCTCAATAGCCAGCGCCTGTAAAGCAAGGTGAGAGACCATCATCTTCTGTTTCCCCTGACTGGTAGGACCAGCATAATTACCTGGCATCCTTGGACAACTTCCAGTGCCCCAGTGGAGCCCACCTTTGATGTCTGTCTTGGTCCCCTCTTTTCCCAGCACTCTGCTGACTAGTAAGCCACCATTTCAGTTGCTTAAAATTGCACAGAGCACCCATGATGACCTCCAACCACCCATTCGAGTCAAGTAAGAACTGCCAGTGCACAGAGGAAGGGACCCACTAGAGGGCACTACATTGAGGCCCCACTCACACCTACAGCTGGCCATGCCAACTAAAAACATGGGTTGCACATTAACAGCATCAAATACCTGTATAGCTGTCTATCTGCAAACTGTTTCCAGAGAGATTCAAGATCTTCAGAGGTGGCTGCTCGGGAAAGTTCAATAAGTTCTAAGAACTTGGCTGGCGCTTCTGGATGGAGTTGTAGCTGGCTCTCCTGAATTAACCACTCCAGCATTTTCACCATCTATAAAACAGAGGGCGAAAGGAACTGGTTATATTCCCTTCTTGACTATTTAGAATCATTTTCTAGGCCTTCCGTTCATTTTCTGTTGTGAAACGTCTCACCCGTGGCTCAGGGTTATCGGTCTTTATTAGGTGCAGAGCCATCTGGGGAAGGTCTTCTGGAAACTGATAATGAATATTTCCGTAGTTTTGCAGCAAGTTCCCTGGCATTTTGTCTTGGTTGGTTGTCGTTTCAATCAAAGTCAAGTTTTGTCTGGATGGGGTAAGAAATAAATTCCTGTATTAACGCTGAGAAGAAGGATTAAGGTTGAAGTCTATAGATTCTGACAGAAAGGAAATGCATTCACTTTGACTGAGAGAAGCCCATGTTCAGCATCACCATGGTGCCCAGTCTGAGGGCTCAAAGCATTGGTCAATTTAGGATTCTAAAACCTGTACATGCAGCTCAATGGTAGATCTCATACTTCACATGAAGAAAGTCCTGGGTTCAGACTCTTGTTTCAAACCCTATAAGAGCTGCTTCAAGGCAGCATTCTTCATCCAGCATTGCATCAAGCACTGAGTATATATATTACTGCCCTTCATCAAAAGATCTCAGGACGGTTCACAGAATAAAATACAAGGTAAAACACAAGTAAATAATTTAACCAAAACAGCAAAACAATAACCCCTCTTTTCCACAAACACAATTAAGAGGATATAAATATTAATCAGCCCAAGGCCTGGTTGAAGAGGAATGTTTTTGCCTGGCACCTAAAAATATATAATGATGGTGAGCAGGCCACAAATGGGGAGCCACTGCAGAAAAGGCCCATTCTCATGCTATCACCCTCCAGACCTTACATGGAGGAGCCACACGCAGAAAGGAATGATAAACTCAGAGTCTGGGACGGTTTATACGGAGATAGGCTGTCCTTGACCTTGAGAGTTCTCTCACTTCAAGAGAAAATCAGCTAACCATTTGGAGAGCTGCTATATCTTTAATGTTGTCATCACTTGTTGACCACAGAATGAAGTGATATTTTCATGTGCTGCTGCAGCCATCACAGATCAAACACTCCAAACACTTGCATCTCCCCTGACATCACCTTAGACACAACGCTTTTGAAGGGTTTCCCATTCTCAGCTACCAGTCAGCAAGGACAGCCTAATCATGTGCCAATAGAGTGATGTGCATGCATGTGCAAACCAATCCACAATTCTGGTGACATGCTTGTCCCTTGCTCTGATTATACCACCGTGTCAGACATACCTTGCATCCATAACAGCAGTACTACCAACTTCATTGAATGGGGAGATAGTATACACCTGCCGGGAGTCAATGTGTGTGATCAGGGCTCCAGTATCCATGTATTTTAGTTGGTAGGTGAAGGCCACAGCCCCTCTTGTGTTTGTGATGTTCTAAGAAGGACAAATAAACTGCTTATATCAAGTTCTTTTTAAAATTAACTTGGTTTATACTATTTGAAGCAACCTCCGTTGTGAATATTTACATCAATGGCTGCTGTTAAGGCTCCTTACCAAAGGACATGTAGGACAAGGCCGGACATAGGCCATTCCAATGTTCTTCACAACTTTGTTTGTGCAGTTGCTGAGGTCTTTGGTTCGGGAAATGGTGCTTACATTATTGGCCTTGTCCTCCTGGACAATGTACTTGGTGAGGCAAGTTCCTCCAACTCCATCCTGCAAAGAGTAATGGACAACAATGAAATCACAAAATCTTAGGTCCTAGGAACATCAGAAAGTCTCGTGCACCATAGCAATGCAGTGCCCTACATAACTATCTCCCTCACTTCCTATTAACCCACATAATTCAGGTTACAGTTTGTTAAACGGAGAAAACAGGAATGAACAAGGCACACTAAGCTCATCAGAGTGAAGTGAGTAAAGTCATATGTTTTCAGGATGGGAATAGGTAAGCATGGGCAATGCAGGGCAATAGATATTTAGATAGGCTGAGTGGGAAGGAATTTATTTCATTTTTGATGTTCTTCTTCACCCATGGTTCTCTTGAGGTACCAGAGATGGGTGCAACTTGGGTGGGGGGTGATATTGTTCCCAATCTGGAGAAAGTTATAATTTGAAATCAATTTATCTTCAATGAGATCATTGTGGACAAGGCGTAATTCAGGTGAGAAACCTATGTTGAATTCTCCCCCATCCCCAGATGTAGCTCACTAGGAAGGTTTTGTTTTCATCTTCAAGGTCTGAAAGTTCATTGGTCAATGTGAAAGCCACTCATCATATGTGATCACTACATATATGTTTATCTCACTGCTTCTATATAGCTGGAAACCTGAGGTGTATTGTGGCTTCTTGATCAATATTTGCATGTGATGCAATAATCTCACATCACAAGCTACACAGATGTTTTGCACTACTCAGACAATGAAGTTCTTTAATTTAGAAAACGTTTGGAGTAGCACATTACTTTTGGCACTCTCTGATTTAGTTGGCATGACAGATTGTAATAGGGATGGTTAAGGACATTTTGGACTACAACTCCCATCATCCCTGATCACTGGCCGTGCTGGTTGCAGCTAATGGCAGTTCTCCAAAACATCTGAATTATACCAGATAAAGGAAGGCTGGCCTAGGAAGTTTGGCAGGATGTCCTTTACATCTCTTCCAACCCTATAGTTCTGCATGCTGATTCATGTTCATCACTAGATCATTACAGTATCACATTTAATGTATGAATAAAGGTAAAGGTACCCCTGCCCGTTCGGGCCAGTCTTGCCAGACTCTAGGGTTGTGCTCTCATCTCACTCTATAAGCCGGGAGCCAGCGCTGTCCTCAGACACTTCCGGGTCACGTGGCCAGCGTGACAAGCTGCATCTGGCGAGCCAGCGCAGCACACGGAATGCCGTTTACCTTCCCGCTGGTAAGCGGTCCCTATTTATCTACTTGCACCCGGAGGTGCTTTCGAACTGCTAGGTTGGCAGGCGCTGGGACCGAACGACGGGAGCGCATCCCGCCGCGGGGATTCGAACCGCCGACCATGCGATCGGCAAGTCCTAGGCGCTGAGGTTTTACCCACAGCGCCACCCGCGTCCCATTAATGTATGAATAAGCCACGATAAATCAAACATGACAGAAAGAGCTTTTGCAGCACCACTCATAATTTCGGTCACAATGCTCAAAACGGAGTTAGCTCACTTCTGTTCAGATGCAAGTCATTAATTGCTAAGTAATCAAGTGATTAGAAAGCAATTAAGTGGTTCACAGGAACAAGCCCTGGGGGACACTTTCAGAAAGTTCCCATGTAAAAACAACAACACATGATTCTAATACTCTAATGTTTGTTCTTAAAATGAGTCATTTTAGAATCTGAAAAGACCAAGAAAATGCCATACCTCTTGCAGCTCGTACACACTCTCCATCTCATTTACAGATATCTGCAGCAAGTTCAGGATGCCCCTTATTATATTTATGCACTCGATTGAGACATTTTTAAGGGCATAAATATTTCCAATGCAACCTCTTCTATATTCAAACTTAAATGGTTCAGGAAAACATAGATCCAGCTTCTGAGTGAGAGTGGGTGTTTTGAAGGTTGGATCTCTGGGCCATCTTCCATTGTATTCTTCCACTTGTGGAGAAAGGACCTAAGAGCAGAAAGCACCAGAGGAGTGAAGATTTGAACCAAATTAAAATATTTACATGCAAGCAACAGAAGAGTCATATAAGGAGGAGAGAAAGATTTACCTAAATTTGAATGTGGCACCAAAACTGAGAACATGTATCTCCCGAGTGGGCCCTTACTCCCAAGTAACTATGGAAAACATGCCTGAGTAACCTTATTTCTTCCTTCTAGCTGGGACCAGAATAGTATGCTGAGTAGGGTTCATCATGACCTCAGCGCTGTTCCTTGTGTTATGACACAATGCTGGAAATTGTTGTATGCTGGCAAACACTTCATTGTGCTCTGGTACAAGAGTCCTCCATTTTGGTTAACTTTGCAACTTATTCTCTTCTGCTGCCTTTCATACACCGCCCCCCTTATCTGTTTCTGGTTGCTCATTCCACCCCCTCTCTTAATGGAGGCTTACCCTCACAAGCTCTGTTCAATTTTACAAGGCCTATCAGAATGACAAGCAGCTCCTACATTTCTAAAGCATTTGATGAGGTTACTGTTATGTCTACTCCCCCCCCCCTTTATCAGTTTCCCAGATAACTGTCCACCCCAGTATAAAAAATTGTGTTAAGCTACCAAACTTCTGTATTTGTGTTCAAGTTTGCCCATCTAATTCTTTAGGAGTTGCAGGCATTGGTAGGCTGGTCCACATCTTCTTCACTAGCTTAGTAGAAATCTCCTAGAAGATCCCACGTAGCTACACTGATGCTTATGTCTTTCTGAGCTATTCTGAATAAACGGACCTCACTAGTCTAGCCATGTTTTGTTTCTGTGCGAGTTGTAATAAGCCATTCTCCTTCAGTTCCCTCACGGATGAAAATGTATTGATAACATCTGTATATTTTGGCTGAAAGAGTTAACCCAAAAGTATTGGGTGATATCTAATGTTAGTCATCTTCAGAGTGGAACCACTGAAATCAATAGCCTTAAGTGTTGATATCACCTTGCATACCAATACGCATAACAAAAGCATCAATGGTATTTTTGTTCTAAAGAAAAGTGCTTTGCGTGGGGATCCTTCAACCTGTTTCTGCCTGCCTCTCATGAGATTCTAGACACTTGCTTCCATGCTTAAGCTGCCCACCCCTTCTCCACTTAAAATGGTCCCCTATCAAACCAGCTATCTAAAAAACCAGTCTCTCCTGTATCGGTTTCTACAGCCACAGCAGGCTCTGTAACTCTCCAATGGTATGGTGTAACTTCACCCCTGAAAGCACACTCCCTGAGACAGATGGATGCCAGCCAACCAAAGCCACACAATTCCAGGTGAAGAAAGAAAGAGCTTGGCAGGTATGTTCAGTCACTAAAATTAAAAATTGTTATCATAATCTACCTTAAGAATGTGGTCTTCCGGGGACACTCTGCTGATCTTTACTTGGCAAGACAGTTTTAAGACAGATTTTTCTAAATCCCCATCTTCCAATCCAATCTGAATGAGTCCGGTATAGTTGTAAAGGTAGGATTTGAGATTGCTAAAACCAGGTTCTGTTAAAAAGGAGGGGGAGAGATAATTCTGAGTAGCTATAGCACCCTACACAAATAAGAACACAACAGTAACAGTAATATCTGTGGTGCTTGGGAATTGAGCACATTCCCAAGGTACTATAAATTATACAAAATAAACTATGCAAAATATGTGAATGAATTATAATATTTCTAGTATATGTCAGGATGCTGAATTCAGCTTGAAACCAACAGGTTGTCTCTCAAAAGCAGGTTTACATGTAAATAACAATTTCTGTGATTCCTAAACATAGCTGAATGCAAAAATAAATAAATAATCCTTGCACAATTCAGTCCTATACATGTTTACCTGGAAGTGTGTCCTACTGAGTTCAATAGGCTTACTCACTAGTAACTAATAGGCTATACAGCTTGGACATACAGTATCTAAGAGCAGGCCTATAACTCGTGCTGTGAATCTTGACCCTCCCATAAATTTATCCTTCTCGCTCCCCCTCCACGCCACAAAAAATGAAAACAACCCTTACATGGTCCCTTGTGGTGTGTTGTGCCCTTTGAAGGGGGGGTGGTAAAATGTAAAGTACTGTTACACAAATCCACAGAGAACCTCTCTACGCTTTAGCCAATAACTACCAAAAAAGATAGCATGTTAATAATGAGAGCTTGACTTACCGATATCATTTTTCTGGCTCCCTGTGTGGGGAAGAAATACATTTGTAAATGGAAAGAATTGTAATTTAATATGATAGATAGATAATCTATGATAGATAGATGATAGATAGAGATTTCACTTGGGATAGGGTGAGGTGAGACTTCCAATTCCATCTTGCCCCCCCCCCTAGAGATCACCATCCCTACCTAGTGGCAGAGGGAGTAGGGAGCTTACCCACAAGAGTGATGAGCAGCACAAAAACGACCCCCCTCATGTTCAAGGTGAATGAAAATGTCAGGGAACAACACCAGCTTTTATACACAAAGAATGATTAACAGGCATCTGGTGCTGGGGGAGGAGTTATTGAGTTATCAACTTTGTTACTCAAGTTGCTCAAACATTCTGTTGGCAACCATATTGGCTTTTTTTGTTTTATAAAGAGAACGAAAAATATTGATGCGCCCCCTCAAACTATTCACTGCTGCGATGCAAGCGCAGGGTGGAGGAGGGCAGGAAACAGGGGCAACTTCAACAAAATTGTGAAGTGCTGCTGCTCATGATCTCAGCCAGCCAGCAAGTTATGGTTCCTTTTGGCATACTAAAGGTTGTTCTCCCATTCATTCCACCAGTAAGGCAGGGCAGATCTTTCAATTTTGGTGCTGTCGGTTTCTCATTTTTCCAGACTTAAATTCAGTCCTCCATATTTCTGCAACATTTTCTATCTTCATGAAAAATCAGCATTTTTGTGCAATTTCTCATAGTAAACATTTTTGTACCTATTTATTGCAAACGGATTCCCTTCATGATATGTGTGTGTGTGTGTGTGTGTGTGTGTGTGTATAATCTCACTAATATATGGATTTTTATGCTCACATTCTCCCAGTATATGAATTTTTGTACTCATTACTGGGTTGAAGTGCAGTGCAAAATTTGGAGAATTCTCTCTCTTTTTAAAAAAATGATATTTATTGAGAATTTAAAATTACAGAGAAAAAAAGAAAAAGAAAAGAGAGAAACAAAAAAGGAATTAAACAATACAAGTCAATAAAAAGAAAAAAAGAGAACAAAACACACAATACATCAAAACCAAAAACAAAAGCAAACAAAAAATTAAAAACAAATCCAAATCTTTATCTTTCGTTAACTTGTTTCATCGACCTCCTCTCACCTCCCTTTTTGTTTTCTAGTTATTAATTATCTCAGCAAATCCTTTCCATCTTTCACTATATTCTGTCATTAAATTGTCTTAATTTATTTTAACCTTATCTTACCATAAAAAGCCCTAAAGCTTAAAACTTATTTGTACATAACTCCTTATAGCATTTCTTCTAAAGCCAAATAGTTTCATTCCAACATTTTTTCTAACACTCATTAATTTTACAATATTTCTCTAAATGAATTTTTAAACTTTTTTCCAATCTTCATCCACCGTCTCTTCTTCCTGGTCTCGGGTTCTGTCAGTCCTTTCTATCCATTCCAAAATTTGGAGAATTCTCACTGGGCTACTTTGGGATGTTTCCTCCTCCTTTCCCCTTAGGCCTTTTCTGTCTTTCCTAAATATGTTTTTATCTGTACTTCTGCAGACTTTGGGACCACCCCTTCCTCCCACACGTTGATACCTTCTCTTATTTCTCAATTTTAGCTACATCGCTGTCTTGGCTCAGCTTCCTGAATTTGCTAAGAGTATATATGATGGAGATTTAATTTCTTTTTTTAAAAAAAAATGGCAAACTTAGGATACATGATTATTTAATAATATATAGAGAGAAATGTTTACTCCAGAAGGAGAATTGTGGATGGCCATGATGAGCTGGAAGGTTTTGAAACATTTGTATTTAGACATAAGGTTGGCACGGTCATTTTGACCTGACACACATGGCTCAAGCTCTTATCTGTGTTCTTTCAACTGCAGGACAGAGACATCAGCAATCATATAAAACTATCTGAAAGACAGCCCGGCTTACGTGCATGGCTTCATTGGTCTATGTAAACTGCCTCATAAAACTGAATAGTTGGAAGGGACCCTGAGTGCCATCTTTTCCAGTGCCTTGCAATGCAGGAATATCAACTAAAGCCATTCAAGCTCTCCTTAAAAACCTCTAATGAAGGAGAATCCACAGCCTCCACTGTGGAACTGCTCTTACCCTCAGAAAGTTATTTCTGATGTTTAGTCAGAATCAACATTCTTGTAACTTGAATCCATTGGTTTGGGTTCTAACCTCCAGAGCAGGAGTAAGCATGCTCTGTGTATGCTCTGGTTATCTCCCGCTTGGACTACTGCAATGCGCTCTATGTGGGGCTACCTTTGAAGGTGACCTGGAAACTACAACTAATCCAGAATACGGCAGCTAGACTAGTGACTGGGAGACCATATAACACCGGTCTTGAAAGACTTACACTGGCTCCCAGTACTTTTCCAAGCATAATTCAAAGTGTTGGTGCTGATCTTTAAAGCCCTAAGTGGCCTCGGTCCAGTATATCTGAAGGATATACCCCCATAGTTCTACCTGGACACTGAGGTCCAGCATTGAGGGCCTTCTGGCAGTTCCCTCACTGCGAGAAGCCAAGTTACAGGGAACCAGGCAGAAGGCCTTCTCGGTAGTGGCGCCCGCCCTGAGGAATGCCCTCCTATCAGATGTCAAAGAAAACAACAACTACCAAGCTTTTAGAAGACATCTGAAGGCAGCCCTGTTTAGGGAAGCTTTTAATGTTTGATGTATTACTGTATTTTAATATTCGGTTGGAAGCCTCCCAGAGTGGCTGGGGAAGCCCAGCCAGATGGGCGGGGTATAAATATGTTGTTGTTGCTGCTGCTGCTGCTGTTATAATAAACAAGCTTGCTCCATCCTCCATGTGACAGCCTTTTAGATATTTGAAGATGGCTGTCATATCTCCTCTCAGTATCCTCTTCTCCAGGCTAAAAATACCTAACTCCTTCGACTGTTCCTCATAGGTCATGGTTTCCAGACCCTTGATAATCTTGGTCGCCTCTCCTCTGTTCCAGCTTGTCAAGATCTTTCACGTCCTGCTACATTGCATCAGCAACATCAGCAACAGCTAAGCTTAGAGGGTCTTCTTTCCCATCCATTCCTGTAGCTTCCTTGGAAGTAGGGGACCTTTTTTTGCCTGAAGGCCACATTCCCTCAGGGGCATCCTTCCAGGAGCCACTGATGCCCATGATAGGCACGGCCAGGGGCAAGTAGCTGATATGCCCCTTATCTACATTCCAGCCATGCAAAAGTTCAAAGTTTCTCACACCACACACCCTTCTCTTCCTCTCTCTTGTTAGGCATGCAAGAGGACTTATTATACTTCATGAACACATTCCAGCCAACTAAAAGAACTCAAGGTAGGCACAGAGCAGGAACCGTGAATGTCTGGTCTGGGGAAATGAGGGTGGCTTGAGGGGAATCCCATTGGTTGGGCTGAGAGGCCAAGAGGACTACTGTTGGCCACCAGACCTGAGGTCCCCCAGCCCTGGTACAAGCTGTTGGAGCCTTGTTGAAAAGTCCCCCAGGATTCTGTTGCGTTGCCACTGTAGGTGTTGTTGTCTCTTTCTGTCTTATGAACCCCTCACCCTGTCTCCTTTTTTTATATAAGATATAGCAGCCCCCTGGGTGAGAGAGGTATCCAAATCAGGGCCACGGTTCTGAAAGAGGCCTGATGTTCACAACATACCCTCCAACATGCCTCAGATGAAAGTTGGGGTGCATGGTTTGGGGGCTGCACTCTTGAGTGAGCCAGGTGACTTGTGAGAGAGTGCACCCCCCTCCAAAGGGGCATATTTTGGGGCCATACTCTTGCGGGAGCCAAAATGGGCCAACATCCCAGAAGCCAATCAGAAGCCGGGATAGCTTCGGCACGCCTATCTCTGGCAGAATAAGGAAAAGGTGGATAAAGGCTTCTCAAATCATATCATCAGAGGATCCTTGTTAGAGGTGTGGGAAAAGAATAGGAAATTGTTGGGGGGGGGGGAAATACCCCTTGGTGGTTATCGCCCATTGATATCTTAACCATAAAAAAACGAATATAGAAGGTGAGAGATGGACCTATGAACACCTCCTGGAAATATCTGAAAAAGGATGGAAAATCAGACCCTATGAAGAGCTAAAAGACAAACTAACAGGCTGGCTGCAGTACCATCAAATTAATGCCTTATGGAAAGAAGACAAAAAAACTGGGATGAATGAGAAAAAATCTAGGTTCCAGGTAGAGATTATAGAAAGTAAAACCAAACTTCTATCCAAAATGTATAACCTGTTACTAGAATGGGATACTAAGGATGAGGAGGTCAAGGATGTTATGATAAAATGGGCAATAGACTTTGGATATAATTTGGATTATGATAATTGGACGAGGCTATGGAATAAAGGTATGAAATTTACTGCCTGCACCACCCTTAGAGAAAATATGGAAAAGATGATGTACCATTGGTACATCACCCCCATGAAATTAGAAAAAATGTATAAGACTGGGGATAATAGGTGTTGGAAGTGTAAATCCAAAGCAGGTAGTTTCTATCATATGTGGTGGAAGTGTGAAGAAATAAAAAATTTTTGGGAAGCCATATACAATGAATTGAAAAAGATACTTAAATACACCTTTGTTAAAAAACCCGAAGCCTTCCTGCTAGGTATGATCGGAGACGAGATTAAAAAAGAAGACTACATAATGTTTCAATATGCAACTGTAGCTGCTAGGATGCTACTAGCACAAAATTGGAAAAGCCCTATTATCCCGACCGTTAAAGATTGGCAAATTAAACTATTTGAATACTTAGAATTGGCAAAAATGACGCAGAATATCAGACAGCAAAAAGATACAAAGTTTAATGACAATTGGACCAAATTTATAACATATGGAAACAAATTCTAGAAATCTAAAAATCACAGTAGGTTTAACATAATTCTTGTGATGCATAGATGATATAAAATGAAAACTGCAGAATGGAATTACAATCTTATAAAATCCAAAACTGAGATAGAGGGAAGTCAATTTGTGTGTTTCTTTTTTGGTCCGTTTAGGTTTTCTGTTGTTCGTTCTTGTTCTTGTTCTTGTTTTCTTGTTTTCTCTTTTTTATGTACGGTTGTTTTGTTTTTCTGTTTGCTTATGAAAATTAATAAAAAGAATTTAAGAAGAAGAAGAAGAAGAAGAAGAAGAAGAAGAAGAAGGAGAAGAAGAAGAAGAAGAAGAAGAAGAAGAAGAAGAAGAAGAAGAAGAAGAAGAAGAAGAAGAAGAAGAAGCCGGGATAGCTTCTGTAATTCCAGCTCAAAT